CATTTTTGGTCTACTGCTGCCCATGAAAACTCCATTTGCTTAGGATAAGTCCTTTTAATTTTACTTTAAGTTGAAGTCAAAGCAAAGAAAAGAAAACTTAGAGAGGGTGCAAGTGACTCGGGCTGGACTCGGGAGCTCGGCTCGATAAGTGGCTTGTGATTTGTGAACTGTGTGGGATGAGCTAACAAGCCAAGCTTAAGCTAGCAAGTCCCAACTCGACTCATTGGCTCGTAAGCTGGATTTAAAATATACTTAAAATATATTAATTTCAAAACTTTATCTTTAAACTATTAAAAATATTGTAAAAGTGATATTTAATGTTTTATACTAAGTACATTTTTTATTGTTTATCTCTTAGTTGCTTCTTCTTTTTGTTATTTTAATTAAGCACTAGCTTTAGTTAATATTATTTTTTCTATTTTATAATAAACAAGCGGCTTGTGAATTGGCTCAAGCTCGAGCTTGAGCTCGAACTTGATTAATTGATCAAGCTTAAGCTTGAGCTTAACTCGACCCGACTTGTTTACACCCATCATTTTGAATTTAACTCAAAACACTATTATGTCTTATATACTTTAAACTGGTTACAAAATAAATTTAGGTCAATTGGGTTGAAGGTGAGTCAACTTTGGTTATAATTTTTGTTGTGTGCTAGAAAATTCACGGCGATAGAGTAATGAATTATCGTCTTAGCATTGCACGAGAATTCAACACATACTTATATATAAAAAAACAATCAGTAGTGTGATATATCTAAAATATATAGTATTTTTACACACATTTTTTTACCTATTTTTTGAGATATTGCGCTTTAATGGAAGATATTTGTGTGTTTTTCTGTCAGGTACAAGTAAAAATGTGAAAAATGCTAAAATGAGTGAAAAAAATCAAATTTGGAACAAAAATGTGAAATGATGCAAAAGTGTTTTAGCGCTGAAGCGTCAGATCCGACTCTTAAGCGCCGATGAAACAAAGAAGACCGTGTCTAAAAGCCAGAGGCCTCGCGCTTAAGCGTCAGAGGCAGTTATGTGACAGTTTACTTCATTTTGTTGAATTTTGAATGGACATTTGAGACACTTATTAGCTAAAGAGGGTGGTTATGACCCATAAAAATGAAAATATGGTTAGAAGACTTGTGAAAGGATGCATCATTTGGAAAATACATCAAATTTGGACACATTTTAAAGAGTTATCAAGGCACCTCTTAGAGATCTATAAAAGAAGGAAGTTGAAACTTTTTTAATTGTGCCTGAAAGTCTTGAAAAGTGTTAGAAATGGGGAATTCTGAGAAGATTTAGAGATAGTTTTGGAGAGGTTTTCGGGCACCACAAATTTACTTTATCCTTTTTGTTTTTAGTTTTATGTTTTTAGTTTTATTTTGAGAGTAAGAGTATTGTAAAAGAGAAAAGATTCAAAGAAACTTCAAGAGTTTTGTGGAGGATTTGAGATAGTTTTATCTTTTATTTTTAAACAACTTTTGATTTTAATCGAGACTTGTTGTTGGTTTGACAATGATTTCTACTTTTAAACTAAAGTGTGGTTTTGTTTACTAAAGTGTGGTTTAACTAAAGTGTGGTTTTGTTTTCTACATGTATTCTGAGTAGTTTTCTTTATTTTTCTCCTTAAAATGATAAGTAATTAAAGTATTGAATGGAAGTTGTAGAGAGTATTAATCTTTAAAGTTAGAAGAAGTTGTGATGATTTAAGTCCATGCATTTCATTTACTTCTTGATTTGGTCTTTCTAGATGTTAAAAATTGTTTTGAAAACATGTAAGAATTGGACTGGTATTGTCTCAGTTAACAATTAGAAAGAATCACATGAGGTTGTATAAATCAGAATGTAATTCATATGATTTAGTGCAAATAGATAGATAAATAATCTTGGAATGGTGTAATAGGCGGGAAATGATTAAACACTCATTGGAGTTACAACACCAGTGCACGAATAAACTTGTTGTAAAAAATAGGTGGCAGCTGATGTCGTTCGATGGAAGCCTGCAAGTGGTGATCGACACCGGTGGTCAGAGGTGGTCGACAGTAATCGATGGCGGTCAAAGGTGATCGATGACAGTAAGTGGTGATCTAAGGCGACAGGAGTGGTGATGGGCTCAGCTCCTTATCAAAGCTTCATGTTCTTTCTCAAGCGTCCAACTCCCCTCACATGAGAGGGGTGGGGCTCTATTTATAGTGTTATGGATGCAATGAATGCAGGAGAATGAGTCACTTTGATCAGACAGCCCAGAGGGATTCCTTAAAATCAGACGGTGTTTGATAAACATTTGAGTGCTTGAATGATATTAGGATTGACAATCTTGAGCTCATTGGATTCGTCTTGTCGAGATGCTCGATTTAATTATAATCTCGCTACATTCAACATTAGTTTAACTTTCTAAATATATTCGAAAAACTTCCAAGAGTGGCTTAATGACTTGATCTAAGTTTGATTTTTCTTGGATTAGACTAATTTTGGTATCATTGGGTTCCTCTAGTCAAGCCGGTCAGTTTGCTGTAAGTTTGCTAGTACATATGATTTTTTATTGACGTTTAAATATTTCTTGCTCAAAAAAACACATCGAAATCTATGTCTTGCCTCGAGATTCATGTCGGATGATGGAGATTCACTAGAGATCTATTAGTTGCCCCCTCTTTTCGGGTGACATTACTTTTTTTACCGAAATTATCAAGATCTAAAGCCTTGTGCTTTTTGTTTTGTATATATATACATGTGAGAATATATTATATTATTGTGAGAATTTATATAAGAATAATATAAACCTTTGTATGTTGAAGCACATAAGCACAACTCAATTGGTAGGGTTTTTTTTCAAGCAACGGGTTCGATTCCTGCGCAGGATAAAAAATTAAAATTTTTTACCGCAAGCCCGAAGCTGCTAAGGGAAGGTGTTTACATAGTGATTTATTATTATTATTTTAATTTTTTGTTTTATTATTATTATTTCATTTAAATTCATCAATTTACGTGTAATTCGTTCAGACTTGGAACTATATCAATATGGGTGTCCTCTATGCGTAAAATCGACGTTTTGAATGCGCTTGTGCGGTTCGTTTTGTCATTCAGGGTTGTTTGGACAAAATTGTTGATGATGGGGTCAATTTAAGTTTGATTCGTGCGCAACGTGGCTAATAAAATTTGTTGATTCGATCAAAGTGTTCTGACAAGTTAAATGCCGACCGACCCTAGCCTACGCGTGAGGCAAAGTCAGGCAAAATGACCTCGACAACTTGCCTTTCAACATGCATTGAAGGGTCGCAAGCTTTGATTCAAAAATCATCAAATTTTGTTTTCTTTGAATTTTGGTTCATGAATGATTTTTTTTTAATTGATTTTAATTTTGATTTAATGGTGGGGTATATGTTAGTGTGAATGTGTATGTGGTGTGTGAATTTTGATGTATGTGTGTATGGATGTGTGTGGTGCTTGTGTGTGTGTTGTGTAAACTATGGTATTTGTGTGTGTTGTTTCAAAGAATGAAAACCCCTAAGTCCAAAAAGTCTTCCTAAGGCATTTTCAATACTTATGGGAACTCAACTTAAGTTTCAAGATGTTGATTCCAATCGACTCAACTACGTGTTGAGGATTTGAAACCACACACATGAGACTAAACATACTCAAGAAGTGATTCGAATTTCTAAATTGTGTGGTCCAAATGCTTGTTTTCAATGAGAGTCAGTAGAGAAGTCTTATGGGTATATCCTACGCCCTAAAGAGGGAAACAGAGCTCATAAAAAATGAGGTCAACAATCCTCGTCTTCTTGTTTCCTTTTTTTATCAAGCGGAGCAAATGGGCTTTCAATCACCACCTTTTTCCTTGTTGTTCTCTTTTTTACATCTCGGGCTATGCTCCTATCATTGTTTTTCACTCCAGCATGTGATCTTGAGTGATATAATATGTGACAAACTATCTTGGCTATTGATCTTGACCTTTTTGAAACTATCTCATTAGTGGGAGGGTTGCTCGCTGAATGTGATTGTTGTACTGACTCTACTAGCTCTACTAAAGAGCAAGGCTTAGGAGTTCCATGGTCATAACCATCTTCATCCTTTTTCTAAACATCCTCTACAATTCGAGCTTCATTGGGCTTTGGAGGTTCATGTGTCTCAGCAAGCTTATTAAACCGAGCTAACAAAGAGTTTTAATGATATTAATGTTTCCTTAGCCAAGTAGATCCTGCTAGTAAGCTATTCCACATTCTCCTCTAGAGCCTTTAACAAATTGTATATTCCCTTTAAAGTTGGACCTTCTGTCTTCAAAGTTGCAAATGTTGGACTCTCATTCTATCTTTCTTCAAGAAGAGGAGCATTGGTATCTTGTTCCAAACTTATTCTATTTACATCATCCGACCTTTCTTGAAGAAAAGGAGCACTGATATCATGCAAGTAGAGTGTTTGTGGGCCCCTTGTGAAGTGCTCTGTCTAAATTCCTCAAAATTGATGTGGTATCTTCAGAAATATATGGTGTGAACTCATCACACACAATATGGAATGTCGATGGCCTGCACCGGAATGCAAGTCCCCTGTGTTTTTTGTGCATATTTTTTCTTCGCCATTCTGCTCTACTAATAATGAGTTTGCAAGATGAAAACATAGTGTAAGTTATGAATTGAAGTGATCATCTGAATAATACATTATTTTTATGTTGTTTTGAATAAAATCAAAACATAAAAATCCTAAAAAATCTGCACGAATTTCTTGGCACTGAACATAAGCTATAAAACCTAAAACTCAAGTTATCTACTTAGGAAATATTTGCATGTTTTTCATCAGTACCAATTGTGTTGTCTATAGGTTGTAGGGACTATTCGATGGTTGTTGTTCAATATAACAGTGTCTGATGCACTGTTATGTACCCCTACATTACAAGCATTATTTCAGGAGATTTTCCTTCTTCTTTGAAAGGGATTTAGGCCTTATTAGTTGATTTTTTTTCTTCTTTAATATTTTCTTCAAAGAATGAAAGAAAAAGTTTAGAACTATTCCTTTCACTTAACATCACATTTCTGAAAAAAATTACATGATTCCTAAAATGAGTCAAATAGAAACACCTCTTCCTCACCTTTCAATTCCTCCTGCACAATAATTTTGCACGAGTCGGAGGCTTTTATTCTCATTCATACTTAAATTCCATTCACCATTGCACAAAACTCAACCAAGAAGCGAAATGATCTCCACAGCCACAGCACACAGCCGCCTGAGCTCCTCCTCCCTCCGGCCAAGTTCCTCCGGGTACGAAGCCGCGGGCTTCTTCCTCTGAAGCGCGAAGAGCATCCGGCAAGCAATCGGGTACTCGGCCGCCGCACTGGCATGAACGAACGCGTAGTCATAAGACTCTTTGGAGAGCTCCTGTAAGGCCCAACGGAGGGCTTCGCCGGCGGCTGTGTATTTGAGCGAGCAAGTGCGGAAAAGAGGGCGGACACAGTCGTCTGTTGCGGCAGAGTTGGAGAGGGTGGCGGCGTAGGTGGAGGAGTTGGTGGCGTTGGATAGAGCTAAGGAGAGGAAGATTGTTGAAAGGTCCCGAATGTCGGCGGTGGGGGAGGTTTCAGGGTTGGTAGAGGAGATGGCAGCGAGGCAGAAGTCGTGGTAGGAGGTAGAGTTGCAGGTTGACTCGATGAGAGTGGTGGGGTTGGAAGAGGAGAGGGGGTTGGAAGAGGAGAGGGGGAGGGGGAGGAGGAGGAGGAGGAGGAGAGAGTTGGAGAGGGATGACATGGATAATGGGAAGACGGAGTGGGAGCTAGGTGACGAGTGGAGAAGGAAGAAGAGGGCTTGGAAATATATAAGGTTTGATTCTTTGTGGGTTTTATTTATAATTTTTATAGGATAGTTTGGTTTATTTTTTGTCTTGTAAATTTATTTTTCTATCGTTCATTTCTTCCATATAAAGTAAATTATTGAATTTTAAAAATAATGCTACTAATTTTAATAATTTCGAATATATATATATTATATATACTAATTTCTAAAGATTATGACATGCCATAGTATCAAATATTTTTATTTTTATTCTATTTTATTTTAAGAAGATATACACACATGCCACTAAATTCTTATGTGTTTACATATCTAACACCAAAACTTCAATTTTTACATACACATGACATTATCTATGCATAAAAAGATGTATTTCACGTTTATAAGTTAAAATAGTGATATTATTTGTGATATGAAATATTTGGGCTGTGTAAAAGTAAAATAATAATAATAATTTAGATGATAAGTAAATATATAAGAATTGGGGTGTATGTGTGTAAATGTCCCTTTATTTTATTGTCATTTGGGCTTTGTATCGGGTCACATTGTGAATCTCTGCAAGTGCACCCGTGAGATCTATTTATACATATTTTGGCTTTGTTCATTACTTTAGACTTATTTATTTATTTTTTTGATATTATATATTATTAGAAAATCTAAGTGGGCATAAGCTTAACAAATTTTAAAAAGTATTAAAGATTTACACACGTCACCTAATTCCTATTTATTTACATATCTAACATCGAAACTTCAGTTTTTACATTTATATTTCACTTTACATGCACATCGCCTAAATTTTGCTATTTACAAATCAGCCATCATCTTTCATCCGTATTTCAAATTCTTACTCAAATATCAAAATTCATGATAAGACCCCAACTCATATTTTTCATTTTGATCAAAAATCTCAATAGTTTGACAATGGCATATGCGTAAATAAATTGTTTTGCTAGTTCAAAAAATCATCTGGATGGTTAATTTATAAATATCTACATTTTGGAATATCTGTACGTAATTATCCTTTCTTTTTTTAATGCCCGTGACACTTTAGAAGGAGAAGATTAAATAGAAAGACACATGGGGAAGGGCCCTATTGATGAGCTGAGTTCTTTTGTCTCATCTTTCCCTTACAGAAATTTGGGCGACTCGTGACTGATTCGTACGTGGAAGGGAAAGCCATATGGGAAGGATATCTAGTATAGCATTCACAATTAACTTATTTGTATATTTATATATGTACATTTAAACTTTACTATTTATTTACATTGTATAGTCAAATATCTTGCAACTCGAGCATGGCCCGTTAACCCGCTAGATGATTTGTATACAGACTTGGGTCATATTCATCCATGTAAGGGCTCACAAAGCAAAGCGTAGTGGTTATGACAATTGTTAGTTTGCCGTGGGCAAACTGAGAGCTCGCTTGGTAAAATACCTTTGCTCGATTTATGAACTAAGTTTGCAACTAGCCTACTCGCAGTTTGGCATTTCATTTAGTTACAACAATGGTACGACTTGTATTTTAAAGTATTTTTGTATAATATATTCATGTCAATCATCTACTATAGTGAATGATAATTACTATATGTATAGATATGATGTAAGAACACTTGAACAGAGGGATAAGAAATTAGCTTGAGACTGCTCTCTGTCACTCGCTCACGCACACGTACTATCGCTTTTCTCAAGTTCTATAGTCTAAGTAGTATGCTCATAGACAACTCTGAATCCCAATTACTCCTCACGTAACACTCAAAAATTATAAATAACAATAAAATTAAAATCCTCCTCACTTCATTGTTGAATCCAACAAGTAAGACCTTGTTCTCATATAACATCTCATTAGTCCTAACATCATGGCTTTCTTATGTGTTTTGTCACTCAACACGTCTTGAGTTTCACGTCTCATCATAATCATATGCAGTGATCCCATCAATATTTTCTCAATGATATTTCATCGTGACTTTCTTGTATCTGTGTTCCACATTCCATCATTCCATCAATTTTGTTTTCTATAAGATTTCACCATGATTTTTTAGTCTTTTTTGTTGTTCGCATGTAGCTAGTCTTCTTAATGTTATTCCAAGCAAGTTAATTTCCATTGTGAACTCTTTTTGTTCACCAATAAGAATTTCATGGAGGTCACTAATTAATGAAAGTCATTGAGATGTTATATTATGTAACTAGTGAAGTTTAGACATTAAATATTTAAAGGATATAAGTTTTAAGTGCCAATGTATGTAAATCCTCATATTATTTAAAGCATATTTTCTTTCATTTTGAAAGAACTTATATGTGGGAAATAGTTTTTTCTTTCATGTAGTCTCTTTAAAGTTAAGCTGATTAGGGCCCAATTACTACTTCAACTAAAAGATATTTGTAATTGCATAGCTAACAAATTCCTTTTATATTGTTTCTATTATTTAAAATTATATGAAAATCTCCTTACAAGAAGTAGAAATAACTGAATTAAAAAATGGGCTTAACATTTATGTAGTTATGTGGCAGTACAAAAAAATGAAGAATAATAACATTGAGCATAAGTCAAAGCATAATAATTTATAAAACTATTATGTGAAAATAATTTTTAATAATCAAGCACACATATGCAATGGTCCAAAGGAGATAATTTTAGTACTAGAAATGCAAATAATTAAAGGAGATAAGTTTAGTACCATATCAGACTTAGATGGTGCAAGAAATATGACAAGATAATAACCCATATTTTAAACCATAAACTCAAATTCATTATTGAAATGAATTAAATTCTACCCTTTCAAATGTTTTCCAACATTTTCATCATAGTCTATGATTCTTACATTGCCTAAATCATGCATTTATGTCTTGACTGCATGAAATATTGGTGTGTGTGGGTGTGGGTGTTGGCAAGGCAGGGGTGTGTGGTGGTGTTTATGGTGGAACACTTAACTATAAAATCTTTTAGGTTAAGCTAAATCATAGAAATGAATCCTATTCTACTTTTCCCATAGAGCCATTGCAATTTAAATTTGAGCTTGTGAATCTAGTTAGTTCAAGAATGCAGAGTGAAAGTGAACAAGAAAAAGATTTTTGCATGTGAGTGTTTAAATGTTTTATTTTTACAATGGAGATTTTATGTATCTTAAAATATCTCAAGCATGATGAACATATAACTAAAAAACAATTTAAATAGATTTTTGTATCATTCTAGATTTATTTACAGTTTTTAAAGTATTTTCTCTACGTTCAGGCTCCGACATATCATTCTAAATTTTTGTATTTCCAATTTTATTTACAGTATCATTCTAGATTTTTGTACATACAATTTTGAACATACATTTTTATTTACAGTATCATTCTAGGTATTTTCTCTACGTCCAAGCTCCGACGTAATATTTTCTTCGTGAAGTGTGTTAATTGCGGTCTTACAATTTGGAGGTGGTGAGCAGCAGATGGAAGTTCTTAAATGGCTTATTTTGTATTCTTTTCTTCTTCTGTGGAAAAATAAATAAATATACTAAAATAACAAGCTCATGCATCCAAAGAGAAAATTTTGTGGCATATCTTGACCGTGTGTTGATGCCAAGAGAAAATACCTAAAATTTAAAGATATTTGAAGACAAAATGGAAGATAATAACAAAAGGTTATTATTAGTATTTGGGGCAACTACATACATACTGTTATATATTGATACATCTATCACTTAAATTTCATATTTACATTTATATCATTCATAATTTTTAATGATGAATACATACATAGTACCCAAAATATTGTTATATACAAAATATAGTACCTAGATGATTGTTTTGAGCTATTTGAAATGGATGGAAGGGGTTGCTACAATTGTTCATAGCAATGTTTTCAATGCTATGTATGTAATTGACTCTAATTTTTAACGGCCCTTAAAAAATTCAATATTATAAACTTTTAAGATAAAATACATATTCATATACATAGGTTTAAGATGATATTGAGTTAGAAATGTAAATATTTAGTATTTCTTCTTCTTCTTCTTCTTCTTCTTCTTCTTCTTCTTCTTCTTCTTCTTACTATTATTATTGATCATGTTATGGTGTATGATTGCCAACAATGCTGACAATCACAATCACCACTTATATTTCAATGGCCATGCCCAACAATGTATATTAACATTGACATTAATTAACATTAACAATAACAACACTCATCATCATCAATACTAATAACTTGTTAACAAAAGTGTGGATCTCAATCATCAACAATAACTTCAAAGTCTCTTATGACTAACAACATAAAAGCGAGTTGTTATCCATGTATGATGTGCATTAGTGATTACTGGTTGAACCCCAAATTTTTCATCTTCGACCCCTCTCTTAGAAGAAACAATTAACTTGATCATGAGCTATCTTATTTAGTGATGGGATGATTGTGATCGACACAATGATAAAGACTTAATATCTTAATGGGTAGTGGGCAAATGTATAAATTGTTAATTTGCACCAATTGTAATTGCGGTTAAGTTTGAATAAAGGTGCAAAATTATAATATGATATTTTGCGTATTAATGCCTCCTGAGAGGAATGATACCATCACACTTTCGGTTATTACGAGATAGGACAAATCAATAACATCTGGGCTGAATTTAGTGACGCCAAAGGCCCAAACTAATTGGTGAGTGCTATATTGGGAACTTGCTAAGTGGGCTTCAGTGAGGTACAATGGGCGTTGGGTGAATTAATGGGCTCGCACCCCGATGTGGATCTCACTAAACTGGCAACTGAAATAGCTTCGCGGGTAATTGATATATCAAAACATGTTAATTATGTTTAAGAATATTATGTGATATAAAAATTTTTAGATCAATCCACATAAAAACCAAAAAGAGCTCAATAATAATAAATGTTGATGAATATCATTAATAAACACCTCAGGATTTATTTACTCTCAAGTAATAACATGTAAATTATTTTTTTGTGATTTGATTAGCATAACTTTTTTATATGTAGAGCCGATATAATTTTCTCTATTGGTATATTTTTTTAGAGAGACTT